CAAAGATTGATGTTTAAAGCGGAACTTAAGGAGCTCCATATTCATTAAATTGCTTCTCTGTAACTGGATTACGGAGTGAACTTTGACCCATTATTTTCCTGAGCAAAGAACACATTTTGCAAATGGAAATGTGGGTATCTCTGAATGAAGACGTGTAAACAGGTCATCAGGCCTGCAGAGTGACTCAGACTGTTTTATTTGTGCTCAGGCTGTGCAGGAACAGCAGGGGGAGCCAGAGGAACTCATTCAGAGTCCCTTTCTTTCTGCTTTTATGAACTGAAGCAAACCTGAACATTTTGGGGCCGATTGTACAGAGGAGGACAAAAGAGGAGGAGTCGTGACGTTGAAGTAAAATACAATAAATCATGAAATGAAAGGAACTAAAAAGTAAAGCGGGATGAATTAAAACCTGTCAGTGAGAAAAAAGGTTTTCAGGGAAAAACCTCCCAGCGGGAATCTTTAAATCCTCCCGAATATTAAAAACAAGCTGAATGACTCATCGTCTGCTGCTGGCACGGCACAATTCAAACAACAGCAGCCAAAACCAACGGGACTGCAGAGCTGCAGGCGGAGGCCCAGACCTGACAGCGGCCCCGCTCTGAGGATCACAGAGAACAAATAAGGCCAGACGTGCCTGGAACGGCGAGATCAGAGCGCTTCCTACTCACCTCCGGCGCCGCGAGGCGGATTTTAAAACCTCAAACACTCCAGAGGAGAGACATCAGAGGCCTGAACTCACCGACTCGCACTCTCTCAGCTTCTTCTGCGCGCTGTCGAAGTCAAAGTTCACGTAGAGACACTCCACAAACTCGGTGATGGGGTCCTTGTAGGTGTACGACTCCTGTAACGGTGACGGAAACGGTGACGGGCGAGCCGCAGACCTTCAGACGGCCTCTCGCCTCCATCCTTACCTGCTGGATGACTTTCACCAGGTCCTTCAGCACCTGCCGCCGCTTCCTCGCGTCCTTGTTGGTGATGACCGCCGTGGTGAGGTAGCGCAGGATGTGCGGACACATTGTCTGGATGGCGTTCAGGTACCTGGAGAAGAAGGAGGGACAAACATGAGAGACACGTCCAGATCAGAGGGCAGGAGGCGCGGCTAACGCGCTGCAGGAGGATCTCTGAGGACATGGAGGCAGCGCGGCTCACTGAGGCTGGTAGAGGAAGAGGTCGATGATGTTGTCTCTGCCTTTGGGGTGGTTGAAGAACACGAACAGAGACCAGTGGATGAGCCAGGTCCTCTGCTGCAGCGACTGGAGGGGAGAGCTCACCGACTGAGGGAGACACAAACAGGGACGAACGTCAGGAAACGCCAGCAACCACAGGCTCCTCCTAAAACGCACAGAAGACATGAACGTCTCCCATCCTCCAGGAGGCGCTCATCCAGGACACACTTCAAAAGAGGAACCTGGTTGGTTTAAATTCCAACCTCTTTATTTTTCCTACAGATTTACATTTCAGTTCTATTCGGTTTATTTCTATAGCTCCAATTCACATCATATCACATCGTTTCCAGTTCAGCATATCATCCAGGAGGAGTTTTCTATCTAAGGCAGAGCATGAGAGCAGAGTTCAAAGGTCAGAGCGAGGATTTCACTTCGCTCCAACATCCATTAAAAATGTTGGATTATAAAATTAGCAAAATAACATTTATTTTATTCAAGTCTAGTAAAATAAATGAATATTTAAATAGGAAAGGCGGGTAATTTCCCTCTGGGATTATTAAAGTATGTCTGATTCAATTCAATTTAAATTTATCTTTATTGTCATCGTCACAAGAACAACGGAATAAAAAGAAAAGTGCCATCGATCGATCAGTGCATATGCTTGAATTGAAATTGAAATGTCCCGGCCGCAACAACGCTTAAAAGACGTTATTTTTTTAAAATAAAAAATAAAAAAAATTTGTCAATTTTTTATGTTTTATTTAGATTACAAAAATAAATCGTAATAAATATAATCCTATTTATGATGTTTCTAAAATTAATACCTACAAAAGACTGATTTAAGACGTTTTAATACCAATTAAGGCCTTAGTTTTATTTTGAAGAATTCAATGACTTTTAAGACTTTTTAAGGACCTGCAGGAACCCTGGAAACAGTGATAATTTAACAGCCAGTTAAATAAGACAATAACGGTCGCATCATTAAATCAAACGCCGTGTCTCCCGGGGCCCTGGCATCATTACAGGAAGGAAAAATGTCAGGAAATGTCTTCTCCTGAAAATGGGAG